TGTAAATGACGTGATTATTAAATTATGATAATAATCGCATAAGAATGACCAAACCGTTGATTTTTCTGTGAAAAAAAAAATAGATTTGTTTTTGTTTTAATTAAACATTTCCCCAAAGATAATTATATTTTAAAATTAAGTGTATGTATAATTCAATAATTTTTGCAGTATTAAAAAACTTCGATATACAGGGTTTTACTAGTTTAAAAACCATTAGATTAAACATTTCTTATATAGACGGAAGGCTGTGGCTTAGACATGGGAAATAAAAAAGATCGATTATTTTCCAGTTACTTTAGGTGTTAGAAAGAGATTAAGAAAATATCAATTTTCTTCAAAATTAACAAAAATATCTTTACACAATGTATCTGTGCAAATTTAGACAATTTCAAGAAACAAATACGAAGACCTATTATTATTTTTGTAGAAATCTTTTGTTATAACAATTTTTTTTCTTGAGTATTTTGAAAGTTGTACACTTTTTTGTAGTTTTAATGCCAGCTATCACACATTTAAATTTATTAAACCTTAACCCTTATAGATACGTCACATGAATATATTTTAAATGTTAAAATGTAATAAATAATATCGGACACTAAAAAAATATATACCTTTTTATAAAACGCGAAAAAATCTTTATTTTTATCGAATCAATAACATGATAATTATTATTTCGTTCTAAAATAGATAGTATTTAAAAAAGTGCCATTATTTTAACACATATTTAGTTTTAACTGCTATATTTTTATTAGAATATCATTCAGTGAGGATGTTTTCACTTTTACCGTCCAAAACTGTAATTGGTTTTATTCAAGATGAAATTTTTTGCCTGTTTAAAATTTACTTAGACTCCGAATCTCAATTAAAGAATTAATATCTTGAGAAAATTAAAAATATATAATATTTTAAGATAAAAAAAAAAACATGAAAACGGCAAATCTTTTTCTCCTTTTATCTGAATAGACTTAATAAACCATTAAAAAACATTAGTAGAACTCCAGTCTTACAACCTAGTTTCATAAAAAAAAGAGAATGCGTCGCGAAATGCAAATTTGACTGCATGTTCAATGCTTAACAAACCGAGTTAATGAGTCATGTCGTTTAGTTATCAAATATGTGTATTGTACATTTTTTTTACAACTTTGAGTTGTTTGACGCCTCGTTGGCAGGGGTTTCAAACTAAATCCTTGCTGATAAAACTTTCTGATGATCATGCCTACCACTTTACAAAATTCAAGCCAGAGGTACGATCGTACCGGCTTGCGGTCGCTAGCTCTCACTCAATATTTCCTCAAGTATTTCCCGTTATTAAGAGCAATGTCATCTGCGAAAGTTGCCATTTTTGTTTTTAATCCTTTCATATGTCACTAGTTTATAAGATATAGCAGTGGACCTAAACCACTTCCCTGTGATATTCCTGCTTTAATTTCTTTAATGGTTGAGTATCCGTCTTGTTTAACTCTAAAAAATCTTCAGGTTATACAAAAAATATATTTAGATATGATCTGATAGGTACTTATATTAGATATTTATAGATGTTCTTTTGTGAGAAAATTGAAACTCTAAAGTATTAGATACATCTGTATACAAATTAAGTAGTGTTACCGTAAGATAGGAAGAAAAAAAGGCACGTGGAGCAGTATTTAATTTTTTAAGTCTTTACGAATTACGAACGTCTGGATTGACACAATTTAAAAATGTAAATTATATTTTCATAATCTCTTTCCATAACAAACCCGTAGATCTGTTTATTTGGTTAAAATTTTATTATATAGTTATATAAATGGATTTTTAAAAGTCGAATAGTATTAGAAAAATTGCCGATATTTACTGGAAACATGGAACATTAATTCAATATCTGGCACACAAGTATTTTCAAAAAATGCACATATTATAACACAAAATATCCTTTTGTAGTTAGAACTTCTAGTATTTTCCAAAGATGTTTGATAAGCCATTTTAAAAAAATAATTCTTTGGAATATTATTTTATTTGCAAACAATGATCTATTTTGAATAGTATCTTGTCTCTAAATTTTGGAAAATAGTTGATAAATTTAACTACAGTTCTTTATAAATATATATTAATATTCTAACTTTAAAATCGTGCAGATATTTAATGCCAAAAAACTCATCTTCTAATAGAAAAAAGCAATACACTTTTTAAATGTAAAAAATTAAGTTTAGAATAATCCCATATAGATGTGATATTTAGTCTTTTGTTTTTATATAATATATTCATTGATTTGTTTGTTTGTCCGAGAAAAAACAGTATTTTTGTATTGCTTTGTATGTGTAAACTAAAAGAATTTGATATTTTTTACTATATTATAGATTTAATATCAGATTCTGTTGTATTTAATTTACTAATTTTGTATATACACATTTATTTGTCATAAAATGTATTAAATGTTTAATTTTTATGTTTATTTAAAAAAAAAGTTTTAGTGAAAAATATTATTATACATTGTCCTAAAAAGTTGCACTTCCTGTTTCCTATTTGAATCAGATACAGGTAGATAATTAAAAAAAAAGAACAAATTTATAAAAATTTTATATTTTCAGTGGAATTTTTTGGGACAAACTGTATGTGTTTAATATGCCTAAGAATGTCATCATGCTTCGGTTTAATTTATATAAAACTTACCTCTTAAAAATCACTTTTCTATAAAAAAAATCACATTTTTTGTATTGTAGTTTCATGACAAAATAAATTTATATTTGATGAATAACAACGTTTTTTTCATTTGGCTACACGTTTACAAGGTATTTCGTAAATAATGGTAAATATTTTAACCATAGGTTGAGGATTTCAAAATATTACTGTTTTGCTAAATAACACTGGTTTATCTTCTAAAATACAGGGTGTTAAAAGTTTCGTTTTTCTTTTTCAATATTTTCATTATTATTTAATGTATTGACATGTTATTAATTTTTTCTACACCCGTATTATAATAATGCACTTATATGCCCATAATCCGTTTCATAATGATACCCATTATGATACAGATTTTTCATTACGATACAGATTTTTAATCAATAGAAACCTACAATTTTTCAATCAAGCATGCTGTTTGACGTTTGTCCTAGGTTCCTATGTAATTATTTTAGTTGTCAAAACGTATTAAATTTTCGTAGGTAGCTAAACTTCGATAATTATAATATTAAAATGTCTGATATTAGCGATATAGAAGACTCCTCCACACATATCGGAGAAAGCAGAAAATACAGTACAAAATATTTTACCGCAAAAATCTAGGGAAATACCAATACCTGAAGTAATACCATTAATTACAATTTTGTAGAATTTTTTATAGAAATACGAGTAATTACTGTTATTGTGTTCAATACCAATATAAATATAATATTTATAGGTCTTGATTATTTATCGGGTGTAGAAAAAATAGCGTATGCAACTCTCAATCGTTGCATAATATACTATATCGATGATCTCCTTCTACATATTACATCAGACTGCCTCATATATGTAGATGATCTTAAACTTTTTAAGAAAATATCTGCCCTAGATGACTATCTAGAGCAGTCATACTCAACCTGCGGCCCTCCAAGCTTTTATTTGCGGCCCGAAACACTATTATTAAAAAGGTGAAAACAATTGGTTTCTGTTTTTAAAATGAACGAAGTGTGCGAAAAAACGTTTGGATCATAGTTACTGCAAAAACAAGATAGCTCCACTTTCGGCATATTCGTCTCCAAAATAGTTCAAATAATATACGTCATAATCAAGACAAGTGTAAACTAAGTCTAAATTCATGATAAACAGATGGTCAATAAAAACTAACTCCATATTAATACATGGAGATGAGTGGCATTTATACCGAAATATAATCAGCATTGTGTTCAATTGCTAATAGTGTGTCTACCAAAACCAAATAAGAGACATGTAACTTATTTTTTCTAAATGTATTTAGTCCGATTCTTAATAGTGTTTCTGCCAAAACAAGACAAAAGCCAGAACACTTTTTTTTGTTGAATGTATTTGTTAAATACTTTTTGCCTACGCCATTTGTTTTGCATGGAACCTTTCTCGATGGGTGCAAAATCGATAAGGTGATTACGTCACCCTTTCTTTCCACGATACAGCTAACCTTCAAAAATAAACAGATGATAACACATGATGCCCTAATCGCCGTAGTAAAGAGTGATTGGTTAAGCCGTAACGAGCGGGCGTGTTGACGCTCGTCTGCATATTGTTATAATAATATATAGAATGCCAAGCAATATACAGTGTCTTGCATAAAGTAACATTTTATCATAAAAAGTCATGAGGTATTTATCTATATCATTTAGAAAAAAAAATCCCATATTTATGATGCACACTTTATGTGTGACACTGTATACCTTCATTCTAGTTTTATGTTAGGAACGATTGAAGGTTTTCCAAATAGTCAGTAATAAAATGAAAATATGTTATTTCTATTTAATTTTAGTGCAATTTAAAAGGTTTGATAGTTTTGAGGCAAATAAATGAATGTAAAATATTTTTGCATCCTCAAGAAATCTAAGATATCCTTATACATCCTCCTTTTTTTAAACCTATAACCTCAGTGGTTTACCCTTCGGTTGAAACAATAAATATAAATATTTCAACATAGTCGCAGATACAAAGTAAAATCGACCTTCGCCCATCTACTAAACAGATGAAAGGTATTTTTCATTAAATAAAATATGGAAATAAATATATTTTTTATTTTTCTCGTACTTGCCAAGTTAGGTACAGTGATGAAGAATGAAACACTAAGAATTACCCAATCAGGAGAACTGAACCACAAAAAATTTTAAAATCTTTTTGAAGCAATAAACAGCGACGTTCTTTTACATATCTCGGTGTGTTGGCTTAGCAGAGGAAAAGTTCTTGAACAGTTTTTTCTTCAATGCAGAAAATTATTTATTTTGATTTTACAAAGAAAACATTTTAACAAATGTTATATCTAAAAGTAACTTTTATTAAAAAATATTTCCTTAGCATTACATAATTATTTATTCCATTAGAACTTCATTCGTAGATGGTTTCAAAAATTTGTTCTTATTTTTTGATTTTTTGTTCTTAAACTTTTTTGACATGTTGTCTACTAATGTAGAGTATCCTTTAGCCATTTCAACATCTGTTACATCCTTTTCTTTCCTTTTCTCTTCTTGTTCTAGTATCTTTGCATAGTCATTAGCCATAAGTTTTTCTATGTCTTGATTCATGCCTCCAAACGACAATCTACCATCTATCAAATTTTTACAATTAACTATACTCGTTGTTATGAAAACTAGGTTTCCAGTACGTCTCATTTCTTCCGTGATTTCGTTAGAATACATGGTTTGCCCCTCTTTGTCGTCCAGTTCTTTTTCAACCTTTTCTTTAGTTTTTTTCATGAATTTCATTTCCAAAATACCTTTTGACAGTTGTACATCTTGATTCGGGGTACCCATTTTTATGTATTTGGTAATTTGGTGTGGTATTTATATTTAATTTCGACACAAACGCTTGAAAATTTTAGTAAACTAATTATTTAATGACAATACAATGAATGTAAACATAACCTAACTTTCATTTTCTTCTTCTTATCTTCTCTTAATTTAATTTTCGGGTTCAAAGTAGTTTTGTGCAGTTTGTTACAATTAGGCATTCCAACGACCTGTCCAAATGGCTACCAGTGGGTACTGACAGTTTAGATATGGCAACCCTGTTGTCATGTTGTCATTAACAGGGTCAATGATACATATATGTTATATACATTGCTCAAAGCTGGTCGTTTGCGAGCAGCCATATTGCCTGGCAAATATTTATTAATTTGAATCAGTTTAGCAAAAATGTGTTTTAAAACCAATTTTAAGACTTTAGATATTTAAAAAATAATAATTGCTTATATTTTTACTTCAAGGCATAAGCTTATGTTTATTTTAAAAAATAGGGATGATCAATCTATGTAACTATCTAATTCACTCACCTTGTCAAATCACCAGGCCTACAGAGTTGCCATAACTTTGCCACATCATAACCTGTCAAAACCCACTGGTAGTCATTCAGTTTGGAATGCCTAATTGTATCAATGGCTGCGTTCATCCGCGCCACATGCTACCTGATCGATCTGGTAGCGCTCTCGAGTGGCACGTATGAACGGTGTATTTTGACATTTCGCTCAAGGAGCAGCCGCCATTAAAAGTAGCGCATTTTATTTACGTCTGATCGGTGATCACTGATCTGTCTTACGCACTTACGTCCACGGTTTGCTTGGTGACTAGTAGGGTTATATTAGCATATTAGCAATTGAAAAATAAACAAACAAATCTTCAACCAGAGACATTCAACTCAAAAGTAAAATGAATAAACCAAAATCAAATGTCACTTTTAAACATGGTTCATCCGTGCATAAAGATCGATCAGGTAGCGTAAGTGATCGCTACTTTTGTAGCGCTCCTTGAAATGGCGCGGATGAACGCAGCCAATGCTATAAAGTCATATAGATTGATCATGTTTTCAAAATAAACAATCATGCCTTGAAATAAAAATGTAGGTAATTATTTTTTTCTACGATCACTATAGGGACCGTGCGTCATGACTTTAACGCTAACTGGTGACAAAAATGTGAACTTTTTGGGGGGTATTTATTAATGTTTTATACGGCATTTATTGTTTAATAATTATTAATAAAATGAAGTCGAATTATTTTCGTAATATCAATATCGAAAAAACTTGTTGCATCCGTGGATGTACAAACACATCACTTTAGAAACCTGGATTTCATTCGATAGTAAAGAAATTTTATAAATTTCCACAGAGCACAATTATGCCTCACACCCAATGATATACATAATTACAAAGATTGCTTATCCATATGTAAATCAGACGACGAAAAGCGTATTTCACTGGGCAAAGTTTTCTTTTTATCTAGCTTGTATCAATTTTGAGCACTTAGTTGTAAAGAAATCATTTACAGAAAAATTAGAATCTTTAGTGTTTTCTTGTCATTAAGATTTTTACATATTTAAATGACCATTTTATATAAATATAATTTTACAGATAATTTTTTTTTGTAAATTTTTTTAGTGACATTACCATTAAACATTATTCAGAATAATAGATAAGTGTCCAATTACAACTCTTACCAAAGTTGTTCATACCTCATATCAAAATTGTTTACATTACCTTTTCAAAATTGTATTACATATTGCAATTATGTATTTTATGTAGAATTGTTTCTGAAATAGTAGTCTAAAATTATTTATATCCATCTGTTATAAAAATTGTTTAGATCTCTTAATATTATTTAACTACATGAAAACTCAACTTTCCAAATACATAATGACATGTCTTGAAGTAAAACTTTAATTATTATCTTTTTCTAAAGATTAAAATGCTGAAATTTTATTTTAACACATTTGGGCTAGAACGGCTCTATTTAGTGAGCACTAGGAAAGGCACATTGCAACCAGCTTTTCATAATTTTTTTATAGTTGGGTGAGCAATCTATAATATATGTATCATTGAACATCTCATAAACGCCAGTGGATGAATGACATTTCGATTAACATAGCTAAAAAGATTTATAATTATTATTATCAATCTTTTTTATTAATTTACATTTTTTAAATGTTATTGTAATACTTTTAAATTCAGTGTTACTAAATACCTATATTTTAACATTGGATACACTTGTTTAAGGTACAACTTTACAATTTATTGTCACTTAGCCATTTAAATCTTTTTGCTTAAAATGTATATGCATGTCCAGATTTTAATAATGTTTCACATTTTACGTCATTTTGACCATGTACACGATTGTTTGGTACGGGCCGGTATCTATTTTTAACTATATTTAATATTAAAAAAAACCCTTCATTATTTACTTGCAATGTTTACCCCATTTAATTCTAAAATTAAACACTAGAGAGGGCTAAGTTCGGCAGTAGTGCTGCCTCTATATTTCACGCACGGTCCCTATCCAATTGCCGCGTTTGAGAATCCACATCGGATGCATTTTTTACATCTCGAGCGTTTTTTTATCCACATCGGACACATCTACTACATCTACATCTGCGTTTGTTTATCCCAGATGTACCTGCCAGATTACATTTTTTACATCTCGATTTGGAATGAGATGTGAATGAGATGTTCGTTCCATGCCAGAAAGTAAGTGTTCTGTGAAGCCTTGTTTGTCAATTTTTCCTTTGTTTATGCTAGCATGAATATAAAAGTGATAAGTTTGCTTAATTTTTGTTTATATTTCAAATTTAGGTTGATTTGTAGTCTCAAAAGTCAAATTTAATAAGTATAAACTTCTAACTTGTCATTGACATTTGTCACGTGACCAAATAAAGTCTAGAGCGTTTGTTTATTACATCTACATTCAGATCTAATTCTCTATCACGTGATAAAAAATTCGCAACATCTCAGATGCATCCGATGTGGATTCTCAAACGCGGCAAATGTAGGCTTTTGCGCTTCGAAATTCAATCGCAGACTTGACGTTTTCCGCGAACTGATATTAAGTGACAGCTTTCGCTTTGTCGATCGCCGAGCGGAAAATTTGACAGCTTTGTCGCTCGCCAATCCAAGCGGGTTATGATTGACAACCTGTGTTATTTTCATGGAGGTATTAGTTTAACAGGTCTGTCATTTTATAAACACATAGAAATTACAACCTGTTTACAAATAACGTGTCTGTTAAAAATAACATTACTTGTCGATCATAACCCTCGCAAATCACGTGAATTTAAATGGTGGCCTCTTGGCAAAAGCAACAAAAGTACGTACTTCCCTTGACAAAAACACTTCTAGTGAGGTTATTAGTTCAAGTCTAAGTTTATATTATTTTCTGGAGCGTTAACGAGTTTTTTTCGGCGTGTTTAATTGAAAAATGGCATAGTTTAGTATTTATTTTGAATATATGAATACTAATTGTATGATTTACAATAACAGTTAAATACTAATTAAAAAGTCAGGTTAATAAACTTTGTTGTTTTCGCCATGCATCGGCCATTTTTATCCATTCTGACAGGACATTGGATTACCTAATTTAAATTAGATATATTTCTTTTTAATAAAAGATTTTGAACTTATTTGAATCTAGTTTGATGTTTTTTCTTTTATTATCCAAGTTAACTTTGAATATCAACTCTTTTATGAATAACGTAGATATAGGCAACACATTTATACACTACTTATGACAAAGATTCATTTTTATATCTATTTTTTGAAATAAATGTGATCGTAGAAAAGTTCCTTGCCGCTTTCGACTTTTTGTCTCAAGCGACAAAGTAAGAGCTATTTTTTACGATTACTATCCAAAGTAGGCTTTTGCTCAAAGTTGACGTTTTCCGAGAACTGACATGTCGATCGCAGCGCGACAAAATTGTCAGCTTTATTGCTCTCCTCCTTTCTCATGAGGAAAAGCCATGAAAAATCGCGTAAATTGTACAGGGTTTTTCATTATATTTTGACCACTACTTATTTTTATTATTCTTGTGAACATAAAAAAGTTTCAAGTAAAAGCTTTGTTGTTTTACCTCAACTTTTTCGGCCAGAGTATAACCCATTCCAAGCAATCAATTGACAACTTTTAATAATCAAACAACTGTTTCAATTAGAAACATCATTTTCATAGCCATCTATGTGTTACACTTTCATAGTGCAATATAAGTCACTAAATAATTAAAATATTATATATTTTTGTAATCAGGAAATGCAAGTCTACATACAATGACAAACTATGTAGGGTGTCCCATTAAAAAAATGAAACTATATTTTGTTGGAGGCCCTGTATATACAATTCTGCCAGTTATTCCATTTTTAGTCGATACAGGTAAAACAACAAAGCTTTTACTTAAATAGTATATTACATTACGAGTGTGGAAAATCACTTTTCACACAAGTGATGTACAATATTTTTCCTACGACCACAAAATAATGTCATCAAAAAAATGTAAAACCAAGATTATTACTATAATAATTAAAATTTATTTAAAAAAATAATCAACAATAATCGTATTTATTCAATTTTCATATTTTCTAAACAAAAAAAAACTAAAAAAAAAAAAAAAATAAAAAAAAACAAAAAAAAAATTCTGCCCCGCCAGGATTTGAACGCGGTCGAAAAATGGCAAAGTTGATAAGTTCGACGTCCTAACCACCTGAGCTAATAGCCCTTGTGTCAATTGAATGATCTAATCGGTTATGTATTTAACCAGAATAAAGAACAAACATTATTTTAAAATTATTTTAATAATAATTGTTAAAGATAAATATCTAGGATCTAATTTACAACAATTTCAATAATTCAACAATCATATCAATTTTAGTATTAATATGGACATTACATGGATCAAAATAGAAATTAGTTGTTTGACATTTTGTGACAACTACTGTGGAAAGTAACATATTCTCACTCGAGTGGAAAGTAAATTCTTATTCATACGCGTGTGATATAGGGCACTTTCCATAGGACTATATAGTGTGATATGTGTCACTTTCCTAAGTGGTCGTAGGAAAACTTTTTTTTGTGTTCGCAATAATAATGAAAATAAATAGCGGTCCAAATATAATGAAAAACCCTGTACATATGTTGCAGGTAAATAAATATAGTTAGTAAATAAAAAAAATATATACCAAATGTTTCAATATATTAGCTCTTAGCGAAATTAAACAATATTTATAAACTATGAACTAGAAAGATTCAGGAGGTAGGCCATAACACGATATTCAATTTTTAGACTTTTGAAAGTAGGCTATTTGTATTTAAATTAAATTCATTTCATGTTTTTATATCTATTTCTTAAAATAATGTGATAGTAGAAAACTTTTCCCTCTTAATTCACAAACAAGCTATTTCACTAAATTCAAAGGCTAAAAATTGATTTCAAACGTTTCAAACACATTTTTGCTATACCTATTCACTTGCGAGGCAATATGGCCGCTTGCATTGCGAGCCGCTCTAATCAATCTATGTAACTGTATAACATTGACCATGTGAAAGTTATTTTGACAGAATCGAAAGACCTAACTTCAGTGATATTTTTATTTTTTAAATATTCATGGGGATCGAAGTCTATTTTGTTTATATTTCATTGAAATATATCACAATTCAATAATAAATTATGATTAAAATACTCCACATAAAAACACGTTTTCTTAAGCAAACTACACCAATAATTAATTTAAGAAATGTTTCGTATGTTCAGGGGCAAAGCCCAGAACCTAAAATTAGGGAATATTTTTATTACATAGACCATCAAGGAATGGTAAGAATTTTGAAACTAGGTCTGTTCTGGCTCTTCAAAAATATGTTGAAAACTGTCCCGAGTACTAGATGAGCAGTGGAAAGTTGAAAAGTTTTATTTGAGGCATAATTTGATATTCAACTGTTCCACTGGATCTCCAACGGTTTGCAGTACATTTTGGGGAAACCAGAACGAACTTACTATAGTAACACTTAAAATAGTTGTTTTTAGATGACGCCCGAATAAAAAATTTCACTTCTTGCTTCAAAGAGAAGAAATTTCTAAGATTCTTTTTTAACCAGTTGAAAGTAAACAGGACACATCGTTATGAAGAGTTTCCCTACATATCCCTCTGTGGGAAAGAAAGGAACTATATAAGATGCGATGATCGTCCAATAGTCTACACACATGTAATTCAAAAATCAGATTCAAACGAATTGCTTTTAGCTTATAATCATGCTGGTGATCTACTAGCAACACAATTCCTTCCAGACAAAGTGATAATGTCACCAGAAACGTGTAGGGTGTACCACCCCGCACCAAAGAGGGTTGGATCTATAGGATTGGTAGCATCTAAGTTGGCTATAGAATTCAGCAAGTCCTTTAGATTCGAAAATGGTGAATCAAACGCTCCAACACATTTTACTTTTAATAATGTAACTTATGATTTAGACGCAACATGGTATGAGATGGCAAAAGGGAATATATGAATTTGTAAGGGTAAATTAACATGTTGACTGCAAAATATGAGATACATGAAATACACTGATATGGAAAACTCCTTTGATTTTCAATCAATAAAATAAAAATCTCAATTCGAGGTGGGTTCAAGGATCTAAAATATATCAAATTAATTACAAAAATAAAAAAAATTGGTCTTGTCTTCTTGGTCTATTATTTATCTCTGCATGTGTTTGTCTTCATCCTGCCTCTACCTGTCTTTGTCCTGCCTTTACCTGTCTCTGCTCCTATTCTTTTTAATCTTTTTTTTTTTACATATGTTACTCTGCTCATTCTTTAAACTTTTTTTTGGCTAAAAATATGAAAATCATCCCTAATTCTTGTTTCATACTTATTGATCAATTTATTATTGAAGGTTATGAATCTACTAATATAAGAACCATGCGAAGTACTATTTTATATATAAAAACCATTTCAAAGTAAAAAAGTATATTTAATATTTAACCATTGCAAAGATGATACATGAACGTTACAAACATTTACTGATTGCATCTCAAAATAACTCATGGCTCTATATTGTATTTTTTGTTATATTTAGATTTTATTTTGTAATATAATATTTTTGAGGGATATTCAAAATGTGGTTTGATTATATACAGGGTTGGGAAAAAGTATGGAACCAAGTAAATATCTTTAAAACGAAAAGGACGATATTTATGAAATTTTGCAGGCAAGTATAATGACGCATAACGCATCTGATGCCATATTTTTTGTTACTACTCTACTCCTGGTTTCACCGGAAATACCCTCAACTTTTTTAATTTAAAGGGGACCACCCTGTATATTATTGCAGATTTTGTTATTCCGAATTCGTACAAGATCTTTTAAAATCTGCAAAAATATACAGGGTGTCCCCTTTAAATTAAAAAAGTTGAGGGTATTTCCGGAGAAATGAGCAGAGTAACAGTAGTAACAAAAAAGATGGCATCAGATCCGTTATGCGTCATTGTACTTGCCTGTAAAGTTTCATAAATATCGTCCTTTTTGTTTTAAAGATATTTACTTGGTTCTATACTTTATATTCTCAGAACGCTTGACTTGAAGTGACACTTTATCAGACATGCTTTCATGTTATAGATTTTTCTTACAATAAAGAATCAGAAATAATTACAGTCCACAATTATTGCTCTATATCAAACAGGTGGTAAAATCTTTTTCATTTGTATAAAACTTTTTGGGACACACTGTATAATATACAATGTCTCAATATACCTTATGCGCTGGTTCAGTGTGATGTCATTTTGGTTCCACTGACATTTACTTCTAACCAAACTGTTAACAAAAACATCAATAAATTTGACATACGTTTTTACTGTTTTTAGTTTATTTCTAAATATTGTTTATATGTCATAAAAAATAGTTTAAAGGTATGTAATTGGTAACTAAACAATTGTATATTTGACGCATATTATCTACTTACTTTAGGAATATATTTATGAAAGTGAAAAAATGATATAATTTAGGTAAACAAAACGCACTCATAAAATCTACTGTCACTTTGTCAGTGGAACCATAATTACATCATCACTGAACTAGCGCATTGTTAACGACGTGCTTGAAGAGAACGTCGCATACAGTGTGTCTCAAAAAGGTTTATACAGATGAGAAAAAGTTGCTTTTTAAACAAAATACCGAACATTTTTCAAAAAAGTGATGGGTGGAGGATGGCACATTTTTTTAGATTGTCAACAATTTATACTAGTGATTAACTCAACATTTTACAGTAGACTCCTTTACCAAAATAACAGATAACCAAGGTCAATTTTTGGCATTAGAAAAGCAAATAATATACCAAACACTAAATTGTTACACATGTAACATAAAACTTGGTGACAGTCGTAAAAACAATATTGTTAGCATTTTTTGAGCAAAATCAGATTTTAAAAGTTTATTCAATTATTAAAGTAGAGAAAATCAAGAAATTCTCAAAGCCATTGTTACAAAATATTACGATCAACCGTTTCCCTCCAGAAAGAACCATTTTATTCTTTATTAAAGGTAAATAAAAAATAGATATATTTGAACAATATTTATTTTTTCAAAAAGTGATTGTAAATATATTTTTTATAACTTATACATTGCAGTTTATTATTTAATACCTAAGTCAATATAAAGCTATTTATTGCATCTCTTATAAATATTTTAAAATATTATAGTTGAAAAGTACAAAGGCAATTCACAGCATAGTAATATTAAATGGCGAGGCACCGACAACGGAATTGATTGAATATTTTATAGGTTTAAAAAACGCATTTTTATGTTGATTAATCACGCTCAGTGAGAAATAAAAGTGGACTGTATATATTTTAAAAAACAGAAAAAATACAATTATTCTGCCTACTCGGCAGAAGGAAGCTTTCACAAATAGTTTTGTTTACAAAACTTTTAAAATTAACCAACTTTAATCTATGAAAGTCTGAAAGCAACAACTTTTTTTAATACAAAGACCAATCATGCCTCATCGACACACATTTTGCATTGGTGATAAGTAAACAGTATACGAAGAGTGTGAAGCGAAAATTGTAGTGTTGCCAGAACTCATTTAGTATGTTCGTGAAACACTAGAATTTTTGGAGAATAGTGCGGTGCGCATCAATTTTTATATAAATAGACGAATCTTCGCCGTTTTAGTTTAGAAATAAATATTGTCTATTACCAAGGCGAAAGCCCGTAGCTGTTGCGAAATTAAGAGAAAACGAGAAAATTCTTCAATGAGCCGTGAAACTACGAAAAATTTTATTGGGACATGTTTAGTTTTATTAAATGGTGTATGAAATCAATTTTAATTGAGAGGTCATATACTATAGTATCCTGGAGAAGTATTTAAGAAATAAAAAAAAATAAAAAATATACTATCTCCGATGAAACGTGAGTGTCTAAAATATGCATGATACTTCTATAGTGTCATCGCCAAGCTTTTGTGGAGGGATTATATACAGATCTGAAAGCACCATCCGGTAAAGGACAGTGCCTAATTGTTACCCATATCGGAAATGACAGTGGGCTTTTTGGAAAACGGCGCTCTTGTGTTTATATATAAAAAAACAAGAAACTACCATGAGGACAAGAATATGGAATGTTTTGAAAAGTGGTTTACTGAAGTGTTACAGAGTGTAGAACCAAATTCAGTTATTGTACTAGATAACGCTTCTTATCACAGATGGTGAGTTGAAACATTTTCAGTAGGATAGCCTAGCTTTGGGATAAAACAATAACATTTACTGAAAAGACGCTTAAAGTGGAATAAATGGACCTAAAAAAGAAAGACCGACATCAATATGTTGTCGACAAATTGCTCGTGATCGTGGTATTACGGTATAAACGCTTTCCTTTTATCACTGTAAATTCAATCCTATTGAACTAATTTGGGCGAAAGTGAAAGAGTTTGTAGCTTGAAAAAATAATACATTTAAAATAGCCGACGTTCAGCGTTTATTAAAAAACTGTATAGAATGTAGAAAAAAAAAACCTGAAGATTAGCAGATTGCTAATTCCTCCGTAAGTAAGGAAGAAATGATTGTGGCGTTTGGTAGGTATGATTGAAACGGAATTTTAGAAAATGTCAGAAGGGTTTTTGAGATAGTAAAGATATATTGGAAATTGTAAATGGAATTTGTTGGATTTATGATTAGAAGTTGTTAATGAAGAGTTAAAGAAAATAATACAAAAAAAAGGAAAAAGAAATGTTATTTAAACAAAAAAGGAGAGACCCAGGAAAGTGCCAAATATAAAGGGAGATTAAAGACAGCAGATAGGATAAAAACACAGAGACGGACACAGAAAGAGACAAACAAAGACAGGGAAAGGCGGACAAGTAGCAGAAGACAAAAACAAATTAATTTTTTTTATTAAATTTATCATATTTTAGATTATTAAAACCAGCCCGAAATTAAGATTGTATTTTATTTATTGGGACTCGAAAGCCAAAGGAGATTTCCATATCAAGTGGCGCCCAACGTAAAGCTCTACCTGATATGCCAAAACAACCTTCCCAACTACTATTACATTAATAAAATTTCCTATATCCCACCCCGATATTGAATTTGAACTTTATGACGTCATCCTCCAGAAATTTCCATATAAATATCCTACCTAATTTAATTCACTTTTAAAAAATATTTTTACAGCATTCAAACTGTTAAATACATAACGGCATTTTATTCCGCTCGAGGGCGCTAAAATTAAAAGTAACGCAATGAATAGTCTTATTGTTAAATTTCTAATAAAAATTACCATTTCAATGGTATTTTTCCTATTTAAAATGTATTGGTTCTAGAGTGACCGATGATGATATAGTAGAAAGGTGGAATAAAAATAAACCTGTTTTTGCTTTTTTTTTCTTTAAACCCTTTAAGATATTCATTGTTTCGTTTTCGGTGCCTCACTCTGTATTAAAAAGCAAAAAAACTTTTTTAAGTGAGCTAAAAAACTAAGATTTTCAAAAAGCGGATAAGTAAACTACTTCTGAATACTAAAACAAAACAGCCTCGCTTAATATTTATATATAAAAAAAAAATCTTAAAACTATTTAACAATAATTGTCATGATTTCTTTGATACATGTGACATAATTAAGTAATAAAATATAATTTTAGGAAATATGGTAAGAAAATGGACAATAATAGTTTATTTAAAAGTTGTACTCTTGTTTATTGGACAGAGTGAATCCTGAGTTGATACTTTTGTTTCAAATTGGGTATAGTCATTAAAATAAACAACTTCAAATAACTTTTTCAAAACTAATTAAAAAATTAAAAAAATAAAATCCGAGCCTGGACTAAATCAGAGCCGACCTGGATTAAAAGTGGAATCGTTTGTTTTTCTTTTTTTTTATTTTTTCACGTATGTTAATTAATCGATTATTTTAGATTAATCGATTATTTCGGTTAATCGATTATGTTCGATTAATTTTGTCGACGAAAGTTTTACACATGTAAATTAGACATTGATACATTTAAAATAAATAATTGTAAGTCTTTTATTTTCGATTTTTTTAAAGTTGTTTATTTTATTTATACACAGTTAAAAACTTATCAACTAAGGATTCACCTTGTATATAATAAATTCAAAATTGTTTCTGTTTTTGCTGATGAACTCAATCAA